ATATATATATATATATATATAACAAAAACACGTGCATATGGATACATACTTGTATATTATGTCAATTTTTGTTTTTGTGTTTACATCTTCATTTGCCAATATAGTATTTAAACATTATGAAAGTATATCTTTTCTTCACATAAATTACAGAAAATGTATACATATTGCGTGAAGTATATATATATATATATTGTATATATGTTTTCATACAAAGTGTGCGTATGTATGTATATTCTGCCAATGGTAAACTTTATAAATCGAGATATATGATTTATTTATATATTCGTATTTAATAATGTGTGTATACATATATTCAGTGTTAGGTTTTTCCACATACGTAATCGCGTCGTTTGTTCATATGTAGTAAATAAACATGAAAGCTGTATTGCTTGCTATAATCTGTATATTGGTTTTTCACCTTTTTTTATGTATATGCATAAGCTGTATTATGTATTAATTTGGCAAAGATTTTACTTCACATATGCAATCAACACCTGCATATTCACAAATACCTCCAAGTATTTATCCACAATCATCGCATGTTTATGCTCATAGTTGATAGACCTCTGCATACATGCAAGCATATTTCTGGTGTGTGTGTTTATTTTTGTCAACTTGCTCTGCTTTAAATAGAAACTTATGTATAGGTCAGTGCTATATATATTTTACAAGTAACATGTGTGTTTTCATCAATAGGCTAGTACTTGTGTGCAGATTGTTCTGCGAATGTACGGGTTTTATCTCTTCGCCAAGTTGTAGTGACTTTGAGGGATAATCCGCTCTAGATACATACACACATGTGATCAACATTATTGTATGTGCTCAAGGATATTTAATATATATATATATATATTGCTAAACTACACGCCGAACAGAATAAGCATCTATATGGACTTAGTTATGTATACATACATTCTCAAGGTATATTCATGCATGTAGACATTTTTATATGTATATGTATAGTTTCCCGTGTACTTCGCTTTTACAATCTGTATCAGTGTTGTAACAATATCGATTTTTAGTATCTTTTGGGTACTTTTCAATATATATATATATGTGTGTGTGTGTTTATATATATATCTGTAAATACCAGAATGTATTTTCACTTTCGAGTAATAAATGTAAGGATATATACTTGTATTCATATGATGGTACCAATCCACATTCTAGTATACCAACTACATGGTTTATAAAGTAATCAGCTTCAAGCAACGCACACGTATATGCAATAGAAATATGCTGTAATACCGTATATCCGCATAAATCTCATATCAAGAATGCACCTACACAAATGAATCTCACTCCTTCCCAACCACCACATACATAGTGCATTTGTTAGTATATCCGCGAGATTCTGCTGCAATAACATGTTTCCACTTGCATGGCCTATCAAGCATTCCTACGACAGGTGCTATAATTTATGCTTGCGTTGAGCCCGCTTTTGATTTGTCTCTCCAGAATGACTCTGCGCGAGTACCTGTCTGTGTACGCGTGACTGGAGGGGGGGGCGGGTGTTTTGATCAAACAACTCTATTTACATCTCGTTTTACGGATACCTCGATTGAGGGGAAGGGACTGTGTGGATGTTGTAATTGTTGCATCTTTTATTATGCCTCCGTCATGGTGCAACCAAAGGTCTATGTATAGCGTGGCTGGCTGATGCGATTTAGCGAGTCGGCCGTTTGCATCCTATGGGTAGAGGTTAGCGAGTCTACTGCATCAGTCTAGAGTCTGTATATGCAAAGTTTGTCCAGCCACTCGCACCACATACATTCCTAGCCACCGACAACGCCAAATAACCCACGTCTTATTCTCTCACAGGCGACGGAACAACGTCCAACGTCCTGATCATTGGCGAGTTATTAAAGCAGGCTAACCGTTACATCTCCGAGGGTCTACACCCGCGCATTGTAGCGGAAGGCTTCGAGTTGGCCAAGATCAAGGCCATTGAAGTGCTGAACAACATCAAGGTGGAGAGTGAGATGGACCGAGAGACTCTGGTGGCCGTGGCTTACACGTCTCTGCGCACAAAGGTACGTGCGGGGTGGGAGGTTGTGTGTGTGTGTGTAGGGCGTTTTTAGGTTGCAGCCGATGGTCTGTTTATAGTTGTATGTGTGATATATATATTGAACGGCTGAGCATTCGTTTATAGGCTCTATATTACTTTAATTTGAGTGGGAACCTGTATATAATAGTCCATTTAGGTACTCATGTACAGTATCACCGATGTGTGCACCTTCCTGGCACACCAGTATAACCGATTTGTAATAAACTCTCGCAACGTAACGCACTCGTTTACGTAAACCAATGAGTATACCATGGCGTACACCAGCTTAGAACGCTGCTGTACACATGTGGTATTGTATTTCCCACGATAGAGTATGTGTGGTGTTGGTTTTATCAGTGAACTGCACGCTACTACATAAAGGTACACACCTTCCTGCATGAGTTGTATCAACCTCCCACACTATATGTGGTATCGTGCATCTATCGTACTATAGCATAGGTGGTGTTGTGCTGATTATCGATCGCACACTGCAGGTACACACCTTCCTGGCGCACTTGCTGACAGAGATCATCGTAGACTCCGTGCTTACAATTCGCAGAGAGGGATTGCCCATTGATCTGCACATGGTGGAAATCATGGAAATGCAGCACAGGTAGGTGTAGAACTCAAACACCCATCGGTATGCGATTATACATATATATATGTATACATTGATTTTCCCTTGGTGGTAAAATTACAGCACAAGTAGGCAAATGAATTTCACACACCTACTATAATATAGCCCTATCCAAGCTCCACTAACGTGTGCATATGCACGTGTGTATCAGTTTTTATCTAAATATATACGGGACGTGTGGGCGGCAAACACGCCTGTGATGATTTTGAAATATTGACAAGCATATGTCCGAAGATCTGTATGTTAGATACTATTTCTGCTGAGGCGTGTTTCCTTTATCCCGGAACTGTCTATACGCCCATCCAACTGTACACGCATACGCAACTGTACCGTGTGCTCTCAAGTACAAGTATTCCTGTGTCTACAGGGCTTTGTTAGTGTGTGTTTTGTCATGTGTATGTGTTTAGGTTGTGGCGACGATGGAGTGTCATAGGCATCCAACCATAAGCGTGCAACTGAGCTTACCCTCAGCCACACTCTCGCTTGAATCGTGATAGGGATATTATACGTATATTTGTATAAGTACATATACAAAAATTCATATGCACTGAATTACGGACTATTGCTGCATAGGTATATTTGTATATATATATATACACATAGATTCATATACACTGGAGGTGAAAGTGTAGGTGAGCGATGGGAATACATGCTTATATTGTACCCATCATAATCCATCCGAAACGCAATATATTCCACTACGAGTAGGGAAAATCTTATGCTTGTACATATGTTGGAAATACGTGCACATACTCCCACACACTTTGTCATAAGTCATTTATGAGATACGAGTCTTTTGCGTAGGCTTGTATTGGGTGCCGGTAAATTGTGCTCTGATACCACCGCTCAAGTCACCTTTTTATGCTGCATGTGATGCGAATGTAAACGTATTCTATACGGCCGTAGACGTTTACTTACAAAAACTGTATACATGCACTCACACATCACCTTGCGCATATAATCCAATTCAGTATGTACATCCCCACGCACCACACCGTATCTATACGACAAACGACAGCAGGCACACACCCTCACATACCATACGATACCTACACCATACCTGCATCATACAGATCAGACGTAGATACACGACTGGTACGGGGGCTTGTACTGGATCACGGAGCACGCCATCCCGATATGCCCAAGGATGTCAGCAACGCACATATCCTCATCTGTAATCTGTCACTCGAATACGAAAAGACCGAGGTCAACTCCGGATGGTTCTACAACACAGCCGAACAGGTATGCACTATCTCGTATATGTATATATATGTGTGAGTATGTATATATAGTTTGATGAGTGCTCGACATATATTCGAAAGTGCCTTCATGAGAATGAATTAAACCCTGTGATCCAGTAATGTGTGAGTATGTATGTCAATCGTTGTGTGGTTGTGTGTACTACTAACCAGCCTATGACGATTTGAAATATTGACAAGCATATGTCTGAAGATCTGTATGTCAGATACCGTTTCTACCGAGGCTTTACTTTGTGGTGTAGTTACACATGCAATCCTACTACGTGTTCTGTTTGTGCTGGTTTGCACGGGTCTATCGCGACCAGTGCATTGTAGCTTAGGATGCTTCATATCAGACCCCTATGATGTTGGTAAGTATCGATTCATACTATGTGTATGTACATATATATTGCTCCCATATATACGTGTTTATTCATATATATATATATATATACTACTTCATCTGTCGAGACACCCTTACACTTCAGTATCTGACCACTTCGGCAATACTCTATCCTCGGAACACACAGAGAGACAGAATGGTAGAAGCGGAGCGAAGCTTCATCGACGACCGAGTACGGGCCATCATTGATCTCAAACGCACAGTATGCGACACACCCGATAAGCAGTTTGTGGTTATTAACCAGAAGGGTATCGACCCCTTGAGTCTGGATATGCTGGCTAAGGAGGGCATCCTGGCTCTGCGCAGGTACGCGGGTGCAAATGTCGTGCTGTTTTATGCATGTGTAGGCGGAGTGCTTATGCACTGTGGTGTGTATGGACGTTTGGTACAAAATTATAGTGTGTATGGACGTGTGTTACATATATATAGTGTGTATGGACGTGTGTTACATATATATAGTGTGTATGGACGTGTGTTACATATTTTTAGAATGCTACGCTGGCTGAGCAAGTTTACTGGCTGTGCGCCTGTGTAGGTACGTCAAGAGGGCATAGTGAACGTGTTTCATTGACGTGTACGATAAGGTCCGGCTTGAGCTTCTCATTATCTCATTACCTCCTTATAGTCCCGTAGTCGCGGGGCGACGTAAGAGTACTGGGCCACTGCATCTATCATGCATCATATATTATCTATCTTCTATAATCCTATCATCTATCTTCTTATCATATATTGTCTATACCAACGATCCCATTGCTACTGTCCATCTGTAAGCGTTTGCCTTATTATCGTACGTTTATACAGTCTCTACTATTCCCCTTACCCTCGCCTAGCCTATATAATGTCCCTATACCCTCGAGCTGCTGATATGTGTCATACTTGCATATATACCTACCTGTCTTCAGGGCAAAGAGGCGTAACATGGAGCGTCATTTCACTACCCTCGCCTAGCCTATATATTGTCCCTATAATCTCAAGCGGCTTATGTGTGTCATACCTGCATATATACCCACCTGTCTTCAGAGCAAAGAGGCGTAACATGGAGCGTCTAATGCTGTCCTGCGGTGGCAAAGCAATCAACGCCATCGACGGACTGTCGCCAGATGTGTTGGGCCATGCGGGGCGTGTGTACGAGCACGTGCTTGGAGAAAACAAATACACATTCGTGGAAGAATGCAAGCACCCGACCTCGTGCACCATTCTTATCAAGGGTAAGCTGTCTGTGTAGTGTATGTGTGCTATGTAAGCTGTCTGTGTAGTGTATGTGTGTGCTATGGGTCATGTTGATGTTTCATAATAACAAATACACATTTGTGGAAGAGTGCAAGCACCCGACCTCCTGCACTATTCTTATCAAGGGCAAGCTGTCTGTGTAGCGTATGTGTGTGCGTGTAGTTCAGGCTATGTAGTGTATGTGTGTGCGTGTAATTCAGGCTATATAGTGTATGTGTGTGCGTGTAATTCAGGCTATGTAGTGTATGTGTGTGCTATGGCCCATGTTGATGTTTCATAATAACAACTGTACGTCCGTGAGCACTCTACCTGGTGCACAGTCCTTGTCATGGGTGTGCTCTGCGTCGCTGTGTGTGTGTGTGTTCTGCGTCGCTGTGTGTGTGTGTGCGTGTAGTCCGGGCTGTGCACTGCATATGTGGAGTGTGGTATGAGACATAATGATTGCTAAAAACCTAAACCTTAAAACCCTACCTGGTATTAGACATAATGGTTGGTCATAACAACAGACAACGCATTCGTGAAAGCGGCCAAACGCCTTGCCTCGTGCACTGTCCGTATTACGGGATGTTGTGTGGGCCATGTCTGTTTACGTACATGGCTGAGTTTCTGCACACACATCACTATACTTCACTCCCACGTTCACTATTGTGTGGGCCATGTCTGTTTACGTACATGGCTGAGTTTCTGCACACACATCACTATACTTCACTCCCACGTTCACTATTGTGTGGGCCATTTCTATTTACGTATAGGGTTGAGTTCCTGCACACACACATCACTATACTTCACTCTCACGTTCACTGTTGTGTGAGTTTGTCGAGTGTTTCAGGCAAGCACAAGCAACCACTTGCGCACATATTGTACTGTGCGTGAGGTATATTTGCCGTATAGAACTTTATAAGAGCAATCACTCTATGAGCTCGACGGCTGGAAACTTCGCTCCTTCCAATTGGGCTTTATGAATCTCTCGCGCATCCTTATGTCTCACTTTTTTTTTCGTCTTCACCTAATATCAGTGTACTTATACTTCACTCGCGCATCTTTACTATACATCCCAACCAGGTCCAAACAAGCACACACTCACGCAGATCTTTATGTCAGTGTACTTATACATCACTCGCACATCTTTACTACATATCCGAACCAGATCCAAACAAGCACACACTCACGCAGGTCCTTATATCAGTGTACTTATACATCACTCGCACATCTTTACTACACATGACAACCAGGTCCAAACAAGCACACACTCACGCAGATCCTTATATCAGTGTACTTATACATCACTCGCACATCTTTACTACACATCACAACCAGGTCCAAACAAGCACACACTCTCGAAGATCCTTATATCAGTGTACTTATACATCACTCGCACATCTTTACTATAAATCCCAACCAGGTCCAAACAAGCACACACTCACGCAGATCAAAGACGCCGTGCGAGACGGTCTACGCGCTGTCAAGAACGCTATTGAGGACAAGAGCTTAGTACCAGGTGCAGGTGCCTTTGAGATCTGTGCACACGGTGAGCTCATGAAGTACAAGGACACGGTCAAGGGACGGGCTCGACTGGGGGTACAGGCTTTTGCCGATTCGTTATTGATCATTCCGAAGGTATGAAGTGATATATGTATATGTAATGTGTATACAAGTCGGGTATGCGTGTAAGTGTGATAAATCAATCCACGCGTGTGTGCGATTGTACATATACTTATAAATACGTATATTATGTTCGGGTAAACACTGAAGTAAGGTCAACATACGCACAGCTTATGTTGCTGACGCTATGCGTATGTGGTTCTCAGTCATAGTATGAAACTTGGTATGTTCTATGTCTCCTTCACTTCCATCGGGTTGCTTATTTCCCTTGATTAGGGTGTCCACTACTGATTGTAGTCCGTAGTAGGCTGGTACCTCGAAAAATCACACACATGCTAACTTTGTCCGTGGATTGACATACCGTACGTATACGTATATCTGTTGTTTTTTGGTCGAGGTTTCTATCATGTGGTCAGTCGTGTTGTTTCGAGAAAGAGAAGATAATTGTTCAAATATTAATCAATGCCTTTTTTGTATCTACACAAAGTCTAATTAATGACTTGATACTAACTTATTATTTTAAACATACGTACCCGTTTTCTATCTGTAGGTGCTTGCCGTGAACGGAGGATTTGATCCCCAGGACGTCATGGTGGCGTTACAAGAGGAGTATCTGGATGGTCACGTGAGTGGTCTGGACTTAGAGACGGGTGACCCTATGAACCCTGCTGACGAGGGCGTGTGGGACAACTACCGGGTGAAGAAGCAGCTACTCAACTCATGGTATATGCATTTGTTGATATGTATATATATATATTATCTATCTATTAGTTTGTGTTTGTGTTTATACATGTGAAGTTTTCATTTTTGAATTTAACCTATATATATATGTATGTATGTATTATAGATATATATAGAATAGCATGAGGAACGTGACCATTTTTTTATGTACGTACTTAAATTCATATGCATGTATCAATTTCCTGTGTACATGTGTATATATAAATCGCCTACATATCAAATCACTGTTTCTACACTACTATCTGAATGCGCACACATGCTCCCTGCATCCCATATGCTGACATTAACCCTCTGCAAACTCTCCACAGCACATCAATTGCGAATAATCTATTGCTGGTGGATGAGATGATGCGCGCTGGACGCACGTCAATGAAACAATCGGGCCAGTAAACGCAAGCCTAATGCCAACGGACTTAAACCTGGTTTTTTTGGGAAATATATACTTGGTTTATATTGTCTCGCCAAAGCAACTATATCCTGCGAGTGTTTAAGTGTACTTTTCAAGCCTGCATTTGCGGAGAAAGTGGCAAAGTCCTGGTTTGGGTTTCGAGTAACATAATGTATATACGAATGAAAATCTTAAATTTAATTTATACCACTGTGATCTGCAAAGAAGAAGTTCTGAATGTGAATCGGTATTTCTTCTGTGTTACACGCATGAGTGTAGTCGAACACCTTTTTTCTTCGCATCTGTGGGAATACTGTACTAGTGTGCATAATAGCAGCATTGGGTTCTTTAGATCGATCAGATTCATTCTCTACTACAATTTATAGCCTGTGACTGTGCAAAGGTTTTGCATATCCGCTATGTTCGAAAGCCAAGAGCGCTTTAATACCTCTTCCGCAGATCTGACTAATCCACACACTATCTTCGCCGCGCAAGTTCAACTTATACCCATCTCATGGCTATGGGACACTCAGCTCATTTGAGTGGGCCGTCATCTCCATTGCGGCCATCACTATACCAAACACAACGGTATCGCAGTAGCTGTCCCCAGTGAAGGGTTTGTCCACTATACTATCAACCCTATAAACAATTCATGTTACATACAAACATCAAATGTGACCTGTGGGCTGTGGTGACCTGCCAACTTGGTGTGATATGTGATACTTTTTTTTTAAGACTTTGGGCCTGGGGATTGCATTACTTTACAAGTCAATTATTTATTTGAAATGTACATATGTAACAACTCATTCTTGTGACATTCCTCAATCTGTCGAAATGAGCCAATATGAATACTCAATGATCGAGAGTCTTGATGTCAGCGATAAGAGCTTTCTATTGGTGTGTATAAATATATATATCAAGTTCAAATCTGCAGTACGACGGTTTAATACTTCCAGTAGTCCATGTTTTTTTTACAATGGATCGTATAAATATTTGTTTTTAAGAAGAAAACATGCTAAATCTAGGCTTTTGTGGCTTGTGCTATGGTGCCTGACATACTCTGCCATCTGAATCGTGAATGTTCTGCCTTCCAAGTTGCATTGATTCTATATGTTCCTCGACAACGATTGGCTCATCTTTTGTGTAAGCTGTAGATACTACATCGCACAAAGACATTTTGAATTCGCATGTAAAGATGTTTTCAAAGGCATTGAAAAGAGTATAAATATTCGTAGGTGGTGCATTCTCTAATTATCAAAACAACATCAAGCTATCTCAGAAGTCCCAACTTAACTCCTATACATCATGCTTATGACAATTATTAGCAGTGTTGTGCTCGTCGGACAAGTTTTACATTCGCAGACGCCAGCGCACTCCCATGTGAGATCTCAACTGAACCGGGTCATGACATGGAACACCGCAAGTACACATTACGATCACAATTGGGCCAAGTAATTCAATAAATTTTCTGTATCAACTGCATAAGTTTCAGTTCTGTTTCTTCGTTTAGTATATACAACTCAGTCGTCTCACAGTTGTATTCGCAATATAGTTGTAGGTAGCCCATAAAGTGAATCTTTATTCATGGACTAAGCTTTGAGAACGATTGAGTATGCCTAATTTCTATACGAGGGTCAAGGTACCACTAGGCTACTTATGAATCATTTATTCATCTAGCCTGCTACAATAGTGTAATTATAAGTATACACGATTTTTCTACGTTTGTACTGGATTGAAAATCAGAAATACTAGAATCGGTGAGGTCATAGTTGATAAAATAGTCATTTCAAACAAGTATTAAATAAGATACACGACCACTTGTGCAGATTTTAAATTAGATGTATCCTATTGTCAGTTGTTGATGTTTACGAAGAGCTAGAATTTGCTTGTGATATACACAACAACCGAAAGAGGTATAAATCATAGACCACCCCTGATATGAATAGTGAATTTAGTCGAGTGGGGTTCACAGCACATGGACAGAAATATAATATGAGCTTCCACTTCTATGTGAATATATGACCCTGCATACGGTAGACAATCATTGTGTATTTAAGTACTTGGCAGGTATTATATTCAGATAAGACCCAAGATATACTGATAGGACCTATTTACAATACAACATGTCATTTCAGCATCTTAGTAGATCCAGATAAAACGTAAGATATACTGATAGGACCTATTTGAAATACATGTCATTTCAGCATCTTGGTAGATTCAGGTTGAACGTAAGATATACTGAAAGGACCTTTTTACAATACAACACGTCATTTCAGCATCGTAGTAGACTCAGATAAAACGTAAGATATACTGATAGGACCTATTTACACTAACATATCATTTCAGCATCTTGGTAAATTCAGATACAACGTAAGATATACTGAAAGGACCTATTTACAATACAAAACGTCATTTCAGCATCTTAGTAGATTCAGATAAAACATAAGCTATACTGATAGGACCTATTTACAATACAACATGTCAATCTGAGTGACAATGATAATATAGCAAACGTCGTTGACTTACCCTATCACACCCCCACCTATAGATCCTGTGTTCAAGAACACGCACTGCGAGACTATAGTAGTACATTCGTGTGGTAAATTGACAACAGCCGCATTTACGAGCTATCGCCAGAATCAGTATAACTTATGAACCGTATCAATAGTCAATGGCAAAGACTGCGGCCGGCACTAGTGAAGGGAAGGCCACCGACAGTGCTATCACGTACAACTTTGTTCTCATACTAAATCAATTTATTTCATAAATAAATCTAGGACCAAACTGATAAATCGGGTTGGTGTGGACTATATTGCAGCGATATCCAGTCCGCTCACGTAAATCTCTGTTCTCATACTAAATTAATTTATTTCATGTGACCCAGGACGTTTCAAATGCCCAGGAATCTAAGTTTGCCCACGCTGCCTAATCCTCACGACAGTCGTACCGCTTTCACACTCTCCACTAAACCGGTACCCATGCGCACCACCTCATCCAGTACGTATTGCGGGTCTATTCTGACGAATGCGGCCGTGAGGGTGCCATCCTTTTCCTACATAGCCAGCACAGTTGATAGTGTGTATGGGTGGATGTGAGGACATTTAAACCTTACGAACGAAATGTTTGTGCGTGAGTGAGAAGGGTTGTTCGTGGGGGTGCCATCCTTGTCATGCATAGCCAACACAGTTGATAGTATGTATGGGTGGATGTGAGGACATTTAAACCTTACGAACGAAAGGTTTGTGCGCGAGTGAGAAGGGTTGTTGCAGGTAGTACGGTATCTACAGATACATGCATGATGTAGACTCGGTAGTATTGAGTTTATAAAATCATCATCTAGGCATCTAACTATAGTTCATCTCACCACATTACGCAGGTAATCATGTAACATAAAGGAGCCGTTATTAGCCATAGAATCATTCACGACTAAACGAAACCATTCACGTGTGCGACATACACTAGCTTACACATGTGTGATTAGCATGCCTTGGGCTATTACTGCAGTCTAACTGTATACGCATAAAAACACGATTAGACAGCGAATATGTTTGCAAGTAGACGAACTCGCCATCACCTAGCAGCATCAACACTCGAACACTATCGGATGCCTATCAGCTGATGTGTAGAATCCGCATGCAGTGCAACGTACTCATGCAACACGGTTGGTGAAATGGACGGATCAAAGCAATAAGAGACTTAAAACTCTGTCAGCGCATATTCTGATTTAGAGCTCGATTCTGACGATCACTAAGTTCTAGGCACTTGCCAGGCACGCGGAGTCTAGTAGGTAGTTCAGAACCAATACTACAAGTACAAGTGCAAGGACAAGGACAAGGACAAGAACAAGGACAAGTATAAGGACAAGGACACGTACAGGTACAAGTACAACTGTATGCCTTAATATCTACAAACTACAAATACAAGTACAAGTACAAGTACAAGTGCAAGTACTAGTACAACTACGACCGCGCCTGCATACCTTTATATCAACTGGGCTGGTGAATCGGCTCTTCATGACGCTGAACTTGACTTTGTCGAAGGCATTGTGGCCCCAGACGACACCGATGTGACGTCCGCCGTTGACGTTGTACAGGAAGAGTGCCAGATGACCAAACTAAACGTCAACGAGAACAACGGGAACGTATTGTAGATGAGGAGGTGGAATGTACGTGAGGAGGTGAGTTCAACGAGAATGGTTTGCAGGTAAGGTGAGTTGAAGACGTCTCAATACGTTAGTGAGCTGCTGAGCTCTGAAATGCGTGTATCAACGTAGTGTAGTGGATATGTGCACGTAGATGTGGTCTTGATTGTGGGCTTCATCTCGATAGTGGGCAGATGAAGCCGGAATTTTGTGTACGAGTAAATAGTGTATGGATATGTGGTGTTCAGGTACAGAGGGAAAGGTATGGGCAGGCATGGCGAGAATGATTATCCGGGCTATACGGTGATGCTCAACTATATATGATAATACAACCTGTCATCTTGTATAGCAATACATAGTCGCTGGATAGTCCAGCGTTATAAAGTCAAAACGACTCCTATATATATATATATTCATTCCCATATATATATATTCCCATATATATATATTCTCATATATATATATTCCCATATATATATATACACACACACACACACATATATATATATATATATATATATACTACCATATATATATATATATAATAATAATAATATATACTAT